GGGGGCAGGTCGCGGGGCATGGACGGCCGGTGGCCTCCCGAGGGGGCCGGGGGTGGAGGTGGCCGGTCATCAGGAAGTGGGGGCCTCCCTCCTGGGGTTGGAGGTAGGGGGGGTCTGCTGCTGTTGGGGGGTGGAGGCGGGGGCCCAGAGAAGCCCGGTCGAGGCCCGCCGCCTGGTGAACTTCCTGGTAGGGGGGGAGGGAGAGAACCGTGCCTCCCGGGTGGGACGCTGGGTGGCGGGGGGGCACAGGCCGGACTGGGTCTGGGCCCTCCAGGGAGCGAGGGAGGACCCCCCCGGGACTGGAAGTTCTGGACTGGTCTGGGCGTGTTGGGTACGGGCGGGGGGGCGGCTGGGGAATCCTGTTTGGGGGAGAAATTGGGGCGGCCCCTGGGGAGATCCGGGGCGTTGCTACGGGCGCCTGGGAGTTTAGGGGGGCCGGAGGGGCTGCCCCCGCCAAAAGGACCGGGCCCCCCCGGGCGGCCGGCTGGTGGAAGTATCGCCCCCCGGCTGGGGGCTGAATCTGGAGCAGAGGGACACAGAAAGAGAACTGAGACACTAGAGTGTGACCAGCTTCCCGGATCATCATCATCTCACTGGTCTCTTTTTACCGTTGGACTCCCTGTTTCCCGCAGACCTCAGCTTCGGCATCCCCCCGGCAAACAGGCCTCCCAAACCAGCAGGAGACCCACCACCAAAACCACCTCCTCCTCCCCCTCCTCCTCCTCCTCCTCCTCCTCCTCCCCCGCCTCCTCCTCCTTTGGGCTCTGAGGAGAGAGAAATGGCATTTAGAAATTTGCATCCACAACTTTCTGCTTTAGGATCAAGAAGTCCTCTGTTTCTTTTAATCAGGACATTTCAGTTCTCTTTCACCTTTAACTCCTTTTGCCGTCCAGATTGAATTATGAATGAAAACCCAAATCAGTTGAGCATTATTGACTGACAATCCCATTAGTGGTAACTGCCGAGCAGCTGTAATGTGTTATAATGGAACAGACCTCCCTGTTGGAGTAAAAGCCACTGTTAGTTGCAGTCGAAAGGGTAATATCATTTTCCCTGGTGTCTGACAACAGTGTGGAAAAGAATCTCCTAAATCCAGAGAGCCTGGGATTGATTTAGCTCGAAACAAAAGGCCTCTTTGTTAAAAAATAAAATCTCTTAACTGGCTGTAATAGCCGGCACTCCTACTCAGTGTGAGTCTCAGGATAGATATTGTTCTGCCTCTTTGTCATTTATAACAAACCATGAGTCAGAAGAGGTTTCATGTTGCAAAAAGCTCTGTATTTTCCTTTGGTAACAACTTACTCTCAAAAACGGGTCCGCTGCGGTCATTGGTGACAGCTTTCTTTAGTCTGGCTCCTTTACAGATGTCGGTCAAAAGAGCATTTCTCCCCTGCTGCTCCGAGCGGTTCAGAGACGGCTTCTCTGTGTTGGCCTGAACAACAAATGCACAAATGATTAAACAAAAAACAAATAAAGTTAGAGTCGGATGTGTTGTGACACCTTCATCCACAAGAGGTCTCTGCCCACCAGGGCGAGGTGGACGGAGGAGCGGGTCCTCTGGACGGACAGACAGACAGAACGACTTACAGAAGCAAGTGTAGGAGGAGGGGGGGGCCCTGGGGGTGGTGGGGGGGGCGGGGCTGGCATCGTCGGCTCTCAGCTTTACTCTACTTCCACTGGACGCCTCACCCTGAAGGACAGAGCACATGTGCAAGGAATGAAAAAGCGAGCTGGAAGTCCATGTTTTCGCTACATTACACTGGACGTCAGGGGTCCTCGAGGCGGTCACAGGGAGCGCCTATAAACAAAAGCCCAACACTACATTACAGTTATACTGGCTCTTCACATAGAGCCACTGAAATGTTCTGCTGAGCAATAAAGGAAGGAAAGCATTATTTAACTCGTCTTTACGTCCTGCAGCTGTGCAGCCTTTAACCGGAATGAGATGTTTACACTTGATTGTGCCGATGGGAACTGGAAAGAAAAAAAGAGAGTAACCTTGCACATAGCAAAAGTGGTCAGAAAAAGTTACTTTCATTTCCCTAAATGTGTTTGGTGAGAGGTTCGAGGATATATTTTTGCACAGCGCAGAACAAACAGAGATAAAAGACGACTAGTTCTTCTGAGAAATCTCTGAGATACACTTCTTCATCCAAAGTGTGTGGACCAAAGACTTTAAAGGACTAAAACAAGCACAACACACACCCACAACCTGCGTTGCAGCAGACATGCAGCATGAGAGGCTTCAGTCCGTTTCAGCCACCATCATTTCTCACTCTGTCTGTAACAGAAGAAACTTAGACAGATATTCTGTGATACCATAACTAGCCCCTGTTAGCATGCTCTGCTTAGAAGCTAAGGTCTGAGCAGGTGTTGTAAAAGAGCCCCGATGGCCTCATTAGGACTAATTGAACTACACAAAAGGAGCGGCTGAAACCGCTTCGAGAAAACATTTTCTTTCACTTCTGACAGCCTCTGCTGTCTCACCACAGAGAAGTCCTCACCGTTTCCTCATGAGAACGTGCAGAGTGCATTCAGCTCTGGGTTGTAAGAAAAAAGCTGCAAAGGGCAGCATTTTAGTGACAACAGAATGTTAAATACACAAAACAAAAAACTATAGGCACATATGCTAATAATCACTGGTTAAGTAAAAGCTTTCTCCTTAGAAGATCAAAGCTAAGCAGGCTTTTGGAAGTTCCTAACACAGGTACGGGCCTTTAAAACATAACAGAGTTAAAGGCTCGTGGTATGTAAGTGTGCAAAAAGAAGGATTTAAAATCAGTCTAAAAAAAGCCACAACAGGAGAAACTGAACTAAAATTTAACCCTGACTGAAATGTTTTGAAGAAGAGTTTTTAACATCCAGGTACTCATCATATAAAGCCCAGCACCAACAATGTAAACCCATAAAATGAGTTCTGCTGGAATAATCCCATTCATGCTAACAGAACTAAACGCATTGAGATCGTAGAGGTCAGATGGGGTTAACGGCCATGACCCAAGAGGAATACTTAAAACAGACTCTAGCTCACAAACACAAACGGTTATTCAAATTCGCGCTGAAATCCCCTTGTTCTCTCTCACAGAAACACTTACACGGCTCTGGCCCCTCACACACTTTAGACTATCCTCGAGGGGCCTCTGACTTCCTGTATGCTGCAACAAACAGGAAGTCACCACGCGCCTCCAGCACCACAGCCATCCGGCTGCCAGGATGAGGATGACACCTAAACATCACAGCCACGCAGCGGACCCATACGCACTCAAGTTTGTCTCTCAACTGCCTCCAACACATATGTATCCACTTATCGCCTCTTTCTCCCTTTGGTTTGCTCTCTTAATCTTTTTTGCCACTTTCTTGACTCCTCCCTGCCATCTTCTTCAGGCTACAGTCGTCAAATCTCACTGTTTGTAGCAGTTTGCATCCTTAAACGACTCACTCAGACAGCTGAGAGCTTCCACTGCAGTCAAGATGCTGCCTTTACTTCCTCTAGGAAATGGGAAGCTCAGGGAGGTTACGTTTTAAGGTGGGATGAATAAATTATACCTTCTCTTGCATTAGAAAAAGATTTTTAAAAGCTCGGCAGGCAGCTCAGGAAAGAATTATCAACACAGAAGCTGATATATATGATGTGGATGAGGAGAACTTCTTAATAGTTCACACCAACTGACACACCACACAAATAATAAACAGATGTAACACGAACGCCTCACCCTAAAACAGGATGTTCTACATGATAATTTACTGACCGTTCTTGACGTACTAGTTGAGCTGTTTACATTTCTCATTTCCCCAAAAAAGCCATAATGAAAAAAAAAAAACTCACAGAGCAAACAGCGCCATTGCTTTAATAAATTAGAGCAATTAAGAGGCCCAGTGATGTTTACAGGAAGTTACAGTTCAGGGAAACTACAGACCAGCCGTATTCAAACCAGTCACACTCAAAACATGGCGAGACATTTTTTTTTGTTGCTATATTGGAGCTAACTTGGTCCTTTTCTTAATGTCTTACAGCCTGTTTTGTGGATAACTAAAGTTTCTACAAATGTCAGTTTTCCTTTAAAACCACTCCCAGTGACATTTCACCACAGAGGTAAGCAAAATGTTGCCACCATACAGTGCGTCTACCAGCTAATTCAGACTTCCTCTTAGCACTAATATACAGGAGACGCAGGCTCAAATAATAACAGCCCACTCTTAGTTAGCAGAAACCACAAAAGACCCCACCCCCCTTAAAAAAGTACACAAACAGTTACCCTGTAAATTGTATCAATTTTTATATGATTGCATAAGTATGGCATGTCACCTGACCAACAAGAATCCAAGAAGCCCCCCTTTTAACAGCTTTTAGAAAATAAAAAAAAATTAAATACAGCCTGAAATAAGATCAAAGTTAGAAAAGGTTAGGGAACATCCATGTTAGGTGACCAAGAGAATCCACAAATACTGACCGAGCATTTGGTGAGAGAAGCAATGCTCTTTGAAAGCCATGGTTCTGCTTGAGGTTTCTGTCTGTTAAAAGGAAGTTTTTCCTTGCCTGTGTCGCCTAGTGCTTGCTCATGGTGGGAATTGTTGGGTTTCTGTAATTAACTTCAGAGTAGGGTCTGACCTGCTCTGTTTGGAGAGCACTGTGAGACAACTGTTGTTGTGATGTGGCGCTATATAAATAAAATTGAATTGAATTGAAAGGGAAAGTTTTGGATCCAGTATCTGACAGCCATGCATGACGCAGCACTTTGAGACACGTGTCCTTTGACTTCACATCTGGATGCTTGTTGTCTTTAAAATATATTAACAGCTCAGGGTGAAGCGAGGACCTAGAGTGCCCAGTCCAGCCTAAAGGCTGTGGCTGTACTAGAACAAAAATTCAGTTGTAGGTCTGAATAAACCCGGCTAACAAGAACCTGAATGTTAAAAATAAGAATATGTAAATTAGGGACCACATTCTGCATTTGACTTCGGGACTATAAGACAGCACACATGGGGATTCAGAGTGGGCTGTTTCTCTTTGGGCCGGCATTAAGAAGCCACACTGACCTGATAAAAACTGCACCATGCTGACCTTGAAGAGGAGGATGTCATCAGAGAAAGGGCTGACACCAAAGGCTGAGGAGCCTTATTTTACTTTGTGGTTGAAATTTATTTTAAATGACTCAGTTGCTTTCATAGTTCTGCTCAGGATGCTGAAGTTCAGCATGTCGGCTTACTTCCTGTTGCAGTGATAACACAACAGGCCCAGATGAGAGGTGAGGTGTTCATTGCCCATGGGAGTGGGTCTGTGGTTGCAAACCCCTCCCTGGATGGTTTTTTTAACGTGCCGCGTTAAAATTGAGTCTTTCTAAAAAAAGAGAAACGATGAGACGTGCAGAAACTTCCGCTTCATGTTAGGAAATGTTGACTAGCCTACCGAAGCTCTCCATCTCTGGCTCACACATAAAGCCTCGTAAAGCATTCACAGTGTAGCCTGACAGAGAGAGGGGAGCAGGAATTTAGATTTTCTCCTCTGAACAGACAGTAAACACACACCTATGCATTGAACGGGGCTCACACATGTTTCAGTTTACCGGAGGCCGTAAAAGGCTCCTTCAGCCTGTCACTGTGTCTCCTCTTTCCCCAGAAGCTGCTGAGATATGAATAGACTTCTACCGAACCCTCATAGTTCCATTTGTATCCCCATGACGGACACTCAGTGGGGTTACCTGCATACTTGCATGGGTTACTGACCAAAGGACCCCCATTTCTGCAAATGGCTGCAGATGCCTTTAACTTCAGATCTGGGAGACTCTCAAACACAGATGCTGTCTTTAGGTTAAATGAACTAAAGAAAATCAGCTGTTTGATCTCTAATCACAAGGTTAAGTTGTCACAAACTAAATATATATTGTGTTTGATGTTTTGAAGGAGTTGTCGGGGGTGGCCGCTGCCAATGGCACAGGGTTATCGGGGTCTGCACGGGAATACAACACAACGATCAAATAAAAGGAAAAATCTCTAAGTATCAGCTTGGCTAAACTTGCTAACTCATTAAATATCCAACAAGTTAGGTTGCCAAAGACCTTATCACCACAATTACATCTTTGCATGTCTCCTCTATTTGATTTTAAGGAGAGATAATAGAGGAATGATCCTGACTTCACCAGTCCTCGAGGTTAGCTTTAAAATCACAGTAAGAAATCATCTGTCAAGTTGTTTTGGGTCGTTTCACTACAGTGAAACCTCTCACTATTCCTCAGCTCCCCATACGCTCTCAAAGGATACTGAAAGGAACATTTATAACTAAAAACCAGGCACCAAAAGCCTTAAGAAATCGAACATCTTGTTTCTTGGTGTTTTAAATAAACCAACTAAACACACGAGCGCCTCTTCGCTGGAAACCAAAGAAAAACGGGAGCTTTTGTTCACAGAAAGGTGAATTTGAGCTCAGAGGCGTTCTGAGGGGAGTCCGGGGTAGTAATAAATGTGTCTGTGAATGTGGCTGTGCAGAAACAGTGCTGAGTGGCTAAGCTAACATCCTGTGGTGTGTCCATGTGCACATGCATACACACAGCAGCTCAATCTGGCAGCAGATGTGACTCTTTCATTTTAGCTGCGTGCTCAGCAGTTTTATTCTTTATTTTAAGAATGTGGGAGAGAAAAAAAAAATCAAAGGCTTAATACGCGTACCTGATAAATATGGCTTTCAAACCTGCATCATGCCTTCTGTTTAATCAGATCACATAGAAATGTGCCGTTTTCCTACGGCTCGTTCTTCAGGTTTCACTACCGATCCCACAAAAATATGAAAAGCTGGATGAGAAATCAAAGTTTGAACCCTTCATTTGAGTAGTTTAGTGAAAATGAAGGCTATGAAAAAGTGTTTTTCTTGGAGGCTGCTCCAACTGGCCTCGTGCTAAAAGATTACACGTGGCTGAACGTTTACTTAAAGCTGATAAATAGAATGAGACACATCAGGGGCTAAATGGAAGAAAATATCAGAGAGACCTCAAAGAGGTTTTAGATTTAGGAAAGAAACAACAACCGGATGAGCCAAGGAACACCATTTCATTTGCAAAATGAGGTAAAAACTCCTCACTTGCTCCACAGCAGGCAGACATACATCTGGAAACCACATTGGTGCTTCTCTAATGACTGGAGGATGTGTGGCGGCCAGAAGGCTTCATCGCTTTCTCCATTTCTACATGTGTTGGTCAGATTTTTAGAGGTGGTAAATATAATAAACCTTTAACCAAACTACATGTTTGAGACAGTTCCAGAATGCATGTGTAGGTTCAACCAATCACCATAAACCATCGTTATCTGGTTATTTATGATGGTTTCCTTCATGGTGGGGAAATTGCTGCTCCATTTAGGAACTACATTTAGACCCAATAAAATAATTACATGAACTATTAGCAGAGACTATTCCTGCTGTTGAGACAAAAAAGGGAACTTTACACACTTTAAATGGGTTTATGTGCTCTGCGCCCCCCTCTAAGTTCCAGCTCTTTGTGAAAAAAATGAGAGTATATTAATAACTGGTAAGCCGAATTCCCCAAAAAAGCCACTCAGTCACATATTTTCTGTTTTTTATGTCAAAAGTTTGGAATAGAATTACAAAGATAAGCTTATTAACACTGAGCAGATTTACAGCCTTTTTCAGTCGGCTGTTCCGCTCTATTAAAGCCTTTCTCTCAAAGCTGCACAATGATCTGCCACAGAGGAAGTTAAAGGCAGCAGAATACCTATAAACACTTCCTCACACAGCCTGCAGCATCAGGGCAGCAGGTACAACCCTTGGGTCATGAAATGGTGATTATCATCCACAAAATACAACAAAATATGTTGCTTTTTTGCATGAATCCAGCCTTGCTCTGTCCATTTTGATACTTATATTCATCTAAAGTCTGTGGGAGCTGTGTGTGGTCTTGGTTAAATAGCTTGAAGAACGGGCTTTAAGTTCTTTCTTTGTTTCACAGTTGAGTTGCAAACTTCCAGCCTTTCCAGAGATGTTTAAATGTCAGAAATACACTATCAGCAGTCTGTTTGATCATTTCCACACAAAAGCCAAACGGCTCTAAAAGTGATGAATATTTGACAGTGGTAGAGAATAAAGGGAGCCTACTTACTCAATGTGAGTCCATAGAAGAATCAGCAGTATGTTCAGGAGGCAGTAGAAGAAGCACCTCAGTTCATTCCTCATAAAAATGCAAAATGCGAACAGCAGCCACATACAGCTGAAACCGGAAAAAAGACAAAGGTTAGCGACATCTAAACGTCTTAAAGGGCTGGTAAAACTTCTTGATTCCCCTTCCTCTCAACCCTCTACACACACATTCAAAGAAGGCCCACTTCATCATACACAAGCTTTATATACATGGTGTTCACCACTTCCGCTTTTTCAGTTCCCCACCTGATGGAGGGGGAGGAGTGTTCGAATCTCCACTCGAGAAGCTGAAAAACAGATATTACAGAGAAAATGAGTCCACCTTATTTCTCATATCTAAGTTGATCATTTCTGGGAAACAGGCTGCATTATAACTGAGATTATGCACATCATCTGTTAGTTCATAAGGAAATCTGTTTATACTCATACAAACTGAGCTCTTAAATAATCAAACTAATACAGAAAAAAAACAATAAATGTGCCTTTTAAACCTAAATACCATCCTTTGATCAGTTTAGTCCGTTTCCTCAGATGATCTCAGATCTCTGGGCTGAGCAGACACACGTCATCTCCATGACTTCCCAGACTAAGAAACTACTGAATAAGTCTGATATTTTGGATCACTTTTAATGCACAATGTCACGATTGTGAAACCCAACTTCCTCTGTATGCTCTGAGACTGGACGTTTAAGAAAAATCCACAATGAGACACAATGAGACAGAGCCCAGCACTGACTGCCCGCTTGTTTCTCTCTGCTGGCTTCCCTCCAGTGATGGGAAACGGTTTCTGTTTAAGAGCCAAAAACGGGCATCGGGGCCGCATAAAGGCAGTCAGTTCAACTTTAGAGTTTGCATTTCGACCAATAAGAAAGCAACATTCATAACAGCTAACCAAGACGGATACAGATATTTCTGCACGCCTCATTACAACTGTTCAAACAGCTCCGTTTTACATTAAATGTATAACAAAAAACAGGATTTTTTAATGGAACAGATTCACGTGGAGGGTTTTTTTGTTGGTATTTTTCAAAGCGGCCTATCTAGACTTCCTACTTTTTCCATACAGAGACGTATCATGCTACAGAAAGTGAATTGATCCCGGCTCATATTGCCGCTGAACAAAAAAGGGTTAGCACAGCGCCACAGCAGTCGCTTCCTGTACTCTGTCACACTTCCTGCCTCGCAGCACAGAGAGAGGCACCACAACCACCACGGCCCTCTCCAGCTGTTTCGCTTTATCAGATTCCAGCCTCCCCGAGGAGGGAAAACGTGTCCTGGCTCAACTCGCCGTATGAAAAGGCCAGTGTGCAGTCTGCAACTGGCTAATACGTTCAAAATAAAATCTGCAGTTCATTTCATGAGGGGAGAGGAGAGGAGAGCTCAGCCCACATTTACTCAGCGTGGGCACCGAAAACTGATTTGTGACAAAAAAAAAAGGAGGAAATGTCTCAGAGCCAAACACTGTGTCACATTCTTCTATTAAAAAAAGTCTATGTCCTCCAAAAATCTGGACCGTCTGCTCAAATACTCTCAAATGCTTTCTTGTTTTTTCATCACAAACCCTGAATAGATGGCAAACTTCATGCAAAAATCATTAATGCTGGGCTCAAAATCTCTAGTTTCCCACCACGTCTTTGGCTTTTTAATGCCCCACATTAGCTAAGATATGTGAATGATGAGTTTCCTGTTGCGTACTGCTGCAGTGGTCTGTGAACGCAACATCAGCAACTCAGACGACAGAAAAAACTGCTGCAAGATATCAAGGAACAAATTAAACTAAATTTATCTGAACCAGCTGGTTAAAGTCACCATAAATTCAGACGCTTTCTATTTTTAGTCACATGTGAATCCACTGAGGAGAATCACATCCTTCTAACTACTCTAATTGCACTTTGAAGAGGGAATTCCTCATTTATTTGCTGTGGAGCTTCATCGTGTTGTCATCATTTTCCAAATAAATAGAGATTTGACTTGGGCTTTTATGTGGAAAAGCAAACAAGGGGGAGAAGACTTTTAGCGGCTGGGTGGTGATGTGGTGATTACTCTGTCCCTTTTTTCATCCCGGGCCTTTTTGTGTGTCTGCCTCAGGCCTCCAAGCGTTATCCAAAAATCAGGCCGATAGGTTGACTGGTGAATCTAAACAGACTCCTGGAGTGAGTGTGAGTAGGAAAGTCTGTCTCTGTGTGGTCCTGTGATGGTCTGACTCTGTCCAAAAAAGCATCTCTCTTAAGTAAAGGTGGATTATAAAGTTCAAATGTTAATATTCACTCGGTAAGAAAGACGAGGGCAGTGATGTACCTTTAATCTAAATCTAATCAAAATGCTAGTGAAGTGTAATGCGGCCTCTGTGATGTCACTCTTGGTCTGTAGGCAGCTGTTTGAAGTCGTAAGCTTGCCATTTATCTGTCTTCGTCTTGGGTTTGGGGAATTTTAATAAGCATGTAAAGTGTTTAGAAGGAAATCCACTGGGTAGGAGGCAGGGCGGCCCACAGAGCTCACGGATCATTTCGATCTGAAACCTGAATCCTGAATCAAACTTAAAACAGTCGAACTCGGCCTGAAGAAAACTGGCAACAGAGATCACAGAGTTTCCTCAGAGTTTAAATGTCTTTGTGTCTGGGTGCAGATGTTAAATTAGCAGCTTATAAGTGGACGGCACTCTCGGACCGGCAGCTCTGGCCCGTTTCTAACTGGCTTTATTGTTGCCCCTCAGGTCGGAGGCGTGTGAGGGTCAGCGCGGCCGTTTCAGACCACACATCTGACCACGCGCGGCTCATCAAAACACAAAGGATGAGGACCACAGGACAGGAACCCCAGCTGAGTCTGGGCAGGACACCAACCCCCCCCCCATGAGGCGCGTGGTCATGAGTTTCAGAGCTGGACGTACAGAGTGATGATCACATGCCCACACAGGAAGCCCGGGACACAACCAGCAGGGTAACGCAACGTGTTTCTACTCACACCCCCAATGCCAGCCTCCCCTCTGACCACAAACCACAACTCGATCCATGAAAGGGACCCCCATTCCGTTCCCCTCCGTTTCAGAGGCTGGTTCAGATCAGACCTGAGTGAAACGAGGGGCTGAGAGCCTCCCAACCAGCCCTGGAGTGGTCCCACTCCGCTCACCAGGAATGCCGGGAACCCAAAGCTACGGCGAGTCGGGTCTAGCTGAGCGACAAAGCACGAGAATCGGGACACGACCAGAGGCAGCGCGCTCACATGCACAAGGCTCCGCTCTGTTGTGCAACCCCCCGAAAACATTCACCATGACGTGACAGCTGATTTCCACAGGAGCTGCTTTCGTCCTAAATGAAGACAGACGGCCACGTGACCAGGGCCGTCACACGCAGCCCGACGAGTTGGATCCGAATCTGTGAGGGAAGCCTTAACAAAAGGGGCAGAAACCTCCTTGATTTTTCAGAAATCTGCTTGAAAATTTGGTAAAACTGTTATAGTAGTAGTATCAACTACTATGCAGCTTTTTTTCCTGGATAAATTACTGTGTTTCTAGAGCCTTAGACTGGACTGGGTTAGGGACCCCGGACATACAGAAGTCATTACATGCATCACTTACAGCCCAACTGGGTTTTTAATGACACCATCATCCCGGTCCCAGTTGCCTGCACAGGAGGGAAACTGTTCACTGATAAATATCTGATTGGGCAACAAAGTCTTTTTGTCTGTAAACACGCTCTGTGATTGTTCGCGTTTGGCTAAGAAACTAAACTAAACTAACTTAAATTAGCCAGGGATTCTGGTACAAACAAATCTAGCCCCAAACACACACTGAGGATGGGAGATAGGAAACTTAAAAGAAGAAACCAAAATGGATAAGTTCTGAAAGCCTGACGAAGCCCTGCTGAGAAAAGGGTTGTTCCTGTGCCGTCAAATCCCTAAAAGCTTCTCAAACCAATAGTTTAAGAGTGTTTTGGTCTTCTTTAGCTTCTCAGAGCTTGTCCTGAACCTGAACATGCAAAGGGAGTGTTTATGTGCACGCTGCTTATTTTTGTTTTGAGGACTTGAGGAAAGAAAACACCTGCAAAAGTAATAAAAAATGAGAATTCCTGCATCTTTTGGGTTCTGAACACAGGAACTATGATAAGAAGAAGGTTTTCGTTAAAGCAGCATGCTCACAACAAAGGTTTCTGGTGATTCACTCTGAATTTAGCATTAGAGGTTGATGAATTGGGAGACTGACTCAAAACCCAACGGCAACATCTGGGTTTGCTGCTCCAGCTGTGGTAGGTTGGACCCCATACAGTGTCAGCTGGATTTAGACGTTTTAAAAGTCAATTATTAGTTTTTTTCCCCCCCCAAATGTCTCATAAACATGCTCAGTAACTGTTACACTGTTTAGCTCTCAGAGGATAAACATCGGGGGAATTACCGAAAAGCTGAACTTGCCTTAAAAACTGTAACATGGAAAACTATATATATATCTATATTCTGTTCGTGTTATCAATATGGGACATATAACAGCGCATTTCTTTTTTTAAAACAGGAAATGAGGCATCTGACTCATGAGTTAAAAAAAGAAAAAGAAAAAAAATGCTCTATATTTTTCCACACATTATGTCATCATTCACTTCAAGTGCTCAGGTCATTTAAAAAATATTTCCAGCCATCTTATTTTAGTCAACTAAGGCTTCACACCTCATTTTCCAACTTCCCCATCTAGTTCAAATATGCTCATTTCTGAGTGTAAAAAAAAAACCATGAGGATGCTAAGCCAGCATCAGAACAGCCGTGAATTCAGACGAGGTGGGCGGATCTGTGTTTTATCCGTAGGCTGAAGGGAGCCATTGTGATCACACCTACAGCCGATACGCAACACCCAGATCAACACTCAGCCTCATGCATTGTGAGAAGAAAAGAAAAAACTCATTCAAATGAGCTCTCCATCTCTCGGAATTAAAAGGTGCCTCTTCCAATATATGTGATTTCCATTTCAATCATTCTCAGAACTTAACCACATGGACGTCTCATTAGAAACTAACACCGACCATTGGGCAAAAAAAAAGAGAAGTATTGGGTTGCACAATACCGTGAAATCTACAGAGATGCAGAAACCTCTGTTCAGCCTATTAAGTTGGGTTTAAAAAAAGAGAAGTTCATCTTAAAACTGAGAAGATCAGGCTGGATAAGGACAGCGTGGGTTACATAGCCCTGTGATAACGCAACATAAGAGGAAACTGTTGTTCTCCATTGGAACAATACTATGTCAATATGTGATGAGTGAATTCCGCATCTTAAAGCAAACATCTCGGGGGACTGTTACAGAACTAGCTCCACCACACTGAAGTTCAAAAAGAAAAGATGAGCTCTTGCAGGCACATGAGTTTCTTGCAAACACGTGAATGCTCTCTCCTCCTCCACCACCACTCAGCCTGCAAATGAACAGTAAAAAGGAGCTGCTGTGCAGCTGGATAAAAGGGCATTTTGTTGTCCATGTGTGTGCATGCACCCAGCAGTGCTCCCCCAAAAAACAAAAAGCTTTCCAAAGACAAAAACTCAGAAATGTGGGGAGAAAAAAAACCTTCTTCCAGCTCTCACTCCAATTCAAAACACATGTCTGACTGTACGTGAGGAGATTTTTTCAGCCTCAAACAGCATAGGATGTGTTTTCCAAAGCAGATAAAACCTCTTTTTTATATTTTTTGCTTTTGTTGGAAAAAGGAGAACAAACAGGCCTGATGCAAAAAAAAAAAACGCTGTCACATCCATGTTTGTTAGGCGTCTCAAACCGACTAAATGATTCTCAAGACGCGGCAATAAACAACCCATTTATCTCGCCATCACTGCTGGAATTATTCCCAGCTGCCTTTTCTGGCGACTGGCAACTTCTTTCTGCTTGTAAGTCAAACTCGGGTCTCACGGTTTCCGCTTCAGTGGAGCTATTTCTGCACGCGCAAAAAGCTAGACTTAAGACCAAAAGTTAAGGTAACGTTTTTTCTCAGCCTACCTCTGGAAGTTTGAAATGTTGTGCACGGCTAGTGATCTTCCGTCGACCGTAAATATACTGCGGTTGGCGTTGAGGACCGCTGTGCAGCCAATCCTGAAGTCTGTGGAGGAGGACTGGTTGGCAGTCGGACAGGCCAGCTAACTGGCCCCACCCAGAGCGCTGTGCGGACCGGGTTGCGCACTCAACGAGTCCCCCTGAACGCACCAGGCGCTAGCTAGCTTTAGCTAGCTGACCGATGAACCGAGCATCGTTGAGTGGCTTATGGCCGCTAACTGTCACACAAAAAATCGCTTCACGCGTCAAAATAATAAGCGTTAAGCGTCGTTAAGTGTTTTTACCATCAATAATGATGTTGTCAAACACTTCAACAAGAAAACATCTTTGAAAAGCTAACTGTTTTCGTGGGACCTGTCAATTTGACAAAAGGCATCAAAACAATCAATTAAAAAGAAACCTCGCTATTTTTTTGTGTTTATTTCATCACTAATTTATCTGAACGAACTATTCTGGCTTAAATAAATACTCTCTGTCAATAGAAGCAGCGTTTTTCTGCCCATTGGCCATCCCCATTGAAGGTAATATTGGTGGGTGTGCAGCTGTGCGGATGGCTCTCTCATCCGGGGCTTAAGTGACGTCATGTTTCCAGATGTGGAACAGGAGAAGAAAGGAGCCTGCGCACGCTTTGCAACGCAATATGTTATGTGTTATATAAAAACTTTTTTTTGTAAGAGTCTACCAGTAATTCCATCACAACACAGAGCTTCTGAAAAACAAACCCAATAATTATAAATGCATTAACCCCAAATGTTTGTTGACAACGTCTTCAACACCTTTTTTTTTTCTAGGACAATTGTTCAATATTCGTGACATGCTGATTTGAGCATAAGGCACGCCTGAGTCGTTGATAATATTGAGTTAAACCAGATTTACGGCCTTCTTAGAGGGCGGCTCTGTTGGTCTCTTTGAATCAGACACTGGGAAATTGAGGAGAGAACATGTGGACTAACATGTTGGAGTTATCAGGATTGCGGTTTGCCCCCCCACATCTGAGGACTAAAACTTCTCTGCAACACTTGTAGAAACATGGACACATAGCGCCTCATTGTGGGTAAGCTTAGGTTTAGTTCTGGAGGAAATGTGTAAGACAAAAACACGGTCGTAAAACTTTTCTCATTCGACACACCTCAGTTTTGTCAAAACTATCGATTTTAAACCAATTTCTGTGAGTACTTTGTTTCTTTGCCAACTGGCTTCTACAACAGCTGAGTTATTTGAGGATTTCACATCCATCTAGCTTCAGTTTTCTCATCCAGGAGCCACCTTTCTCCAACTTTTCCATTTGTGTGGTTATGTTCCACATTTTTTGACATTGGATTGCCGTCTTAAAGTGGTTTAACATTCCTTATCCGTGTTTCCACTGACAGCTCTCTTGTTTGGGCAGGTTTCCTGTCAGTCGGCCAGACGCAGCAGCTTTTAAGAGATTTAGATCCGTGTAGATATTTACGAGATCGTTCCAATGGTTTTTCCTCGTGCTCATCTGAAAAAAATGCAGAAGCTTTCCCTCTTGGAGCCGTTGCTTCTGTGACTCAACCTCGGAAAAGCCAAAGATAATGAATGGAAGTATTTCTGTCCCTTTCTTTCTATGAACAACACAAAAAAAGATGGAGGAACATCTGTGTGGGGATCCTTCTTTTTTTTTATATGGTTATTTAATACTAACAATAAATAAAACATTTGACAATTTTAATGTAGAATAACCAGAATAACAGTTTTAATACAAAATGCATAGTTAATTAAAGTCTTTACAAACAGTTCTAACCACACATGGACAGTCAGGTTTCCCAGCTGTGCCTCAGGCTGGTGTGTCTCCAGCAGACAACTGAAATGTCAATGTTTCATTGTTTTAATTTTCCAAAAACATGAATGTTTTTATCCAACTGAATAAACTGTTGAGTAAAAGACATGAATGTATATTCTTTATTTTTAAAAATGTCTGACCTTTGATAAAAATTTCAAAATAATTAACAGTATTTACATGATGCAAATGTCGGTGTACATGTTTGAATGTTTGGAGTTTGAAAAATAATCTAGATTACAGAGCAGATTTCTTCATACTGCTGACAGAACAGAGGATGATCCTCCACTCTCTGGCTGAGTTTATCCTCGATACTCTTCACTGTTTGCCATTCTCCGCTCTTTATAGAGAAGAGGGATAAAAGGAGGTGTGGTATCGGAGAGAACAGTGAGTAGGAAAAACCCCTCCAGCTTTAGGTCTGCGGGAAGAGTTGTTAAAGGCCCAGAGTTGCTTAGATGCTCCTGGTGGACAGGCACTGGTTGACCACCTCCAGCAGGGACGAGTTCTCCAGAGCGGCCGCCACTCTCTCTTTGTCTGCCAGCTGTTTGTTCACTGCACAAGACAAACAGCACCAAATAAACTTCTAAATCTCTCCGAACGCGTGTTCAGAAACCTGATTTCCATCATGACGGCGAGCTGCTGCTTTACCTGCTTCCTCCGAGGCGTGAGTCCCAGGAGTTATGTGGACATCAATCTGAGTGGATACAGACAACCGAAACACAGATAAATAAAACTTCACATTGTGTGATATGGGGTATTGGCGACTGATCAACAAACTTTTAGGTCGCCGAGCAGCTGATTTGGGGAAACTAACGAGCCAGACGCGCTAGATGTTCAAAACGCCGGTCCAAAGTCTTCGTCTTATCGCTTTATTTAATCTTCAGGTATCCAACATTAAAACACGTCATTTCATAGGCATCCATAATCCACAAGCGGTAATCCAGAGTGAACGTTCACAGCTAATTTAATTCGATCAGATCTAAAGGCATAAGGTGTAAAGCGTAAAGCGGTCAGCAAAAAGTAGGCTTCCCCCATCACCCACTCACTACTAAACTGTCACCTTGCGAGGGAACAGGTGATATTTCAAATGCTACCGCTCCCAACACCACCTGACCAATTAGTGCACGTCATCACTATGGCACGCCCAAACCCATTCTATCCACTACATGGGGGCCCACGGGGAGGGGGCGCTAGAGGCCGGACGCACCTTGAACCTGTCGGGCAGCGAGCGCAGGAGCTTGACTTTGATGGACAGGCCGATGAGCGTGGCCATGCTGCAGTGGGGGATTGTCGGGGTGAACTCCACGCCCACAGTGCTCCCGGCATCATCCACCTAACAAACACAGAGGAAGAGACTTTACAGACTGGCCCACAGTATTTTTGTTTGTTTTTGTTGGTTTGTGTGTGTCTCCTCCTGGTGTTTGTTTGCAGGTTTTCCCTCGGGTTTGCCCACGGTGACTACAGGACATCATTCTACAGATACAGCAGCTGGATGGAGGGTTTTGTTGTCTTTCTTTTCTTTCCCCTCTATTCCTGTTCTAGGGATCTCTCTTCTTTTCGGCGCGGGTTATTGTTACCTTTTCTCTATTCTCTCATCCTTTTTAATTTCATCTATTATTCCTTTTTTTCTCTCTTTTCCTGTCCCCCTGGTCAGGTTTGGCATTAACCATCTTATTTCTGTAACAAAAATAAATCTTAAATAAACAATAAAGCAGTATTGGATGATGTTTGGAGGCTTCTCACCCTGACAGGCCTCCCTTGGCAAAGCAAAAGTGTCGGGCAGAGCACTCAGATTACAATTCTGTCCCCATAATGCTAAACACAAATAGGGGTAAAAAAAAAAGGAAGAAAAAAATAGAAAGAGACTTTACAGAACCCTTTTTAAATGTCCTTAAACAAGCTGGCTGCATTCAGCTAAATGTCTTTAACTCTTATAATCCTAAATAAAATATTTTTAAAAAGCAGCAACGAGATGTACGAGAGGTATTCAGACTCTCCACAGGATAAAAACTACTGGAAGATTAACAGAAAAGTTTCAACATCTGTTCACAATGCAGTGTCCCCTGGTATCCATGGCGATGCCACTCTAACCCTGTAAGACCCAGTTTAGCGTGCATGAACCCTTTGTCCTTTTTATATTCAGACAAAAAACTGATTCTTGTCATCACTGTGTGCTGAAAGATTATTTCTTAACTTGTTCGATTTTTTTTTTTTGAAAACTTCACAAAATGTTCTGAAACATTTGTGACAAAAACCCTCTGATGGTAAAAAAATACTCCGATGAGCTTCACATCATTATGTACCAGGAAAGGTGTGTGAGGGGGGAAATATCTCCGCCCAGCTGTGTTACATTAGGCGATACTGTTTCACATAGTAAAATATATACGTAATAAATATGCTAATTGAACCATCAAAATGTATGTATGCAGCTATTAAAATGCCTGGGCCATTCGACCCTGTATTAAGTGGCAAATGTAAAATTTTGGCTTCATTTAAAAGTTATTATGCATGCATTTTTGTGACCTAAGTGGAGAAAGTGATGGGACTAATTTTATAAGCAACAAGGAAAAGAAAAAGTTTGAGCTCACACTTCTGCTAAACTCAAACTACAGATGTTCAATAAATATCTGACAAAAAAGTCAGTCATTTACAAAGTTTACTAACAGGAATCCTGTCCCATTATTACAGAGGTTGTGTCAGATGCAACACATTTGGGTATTCACATGCAATAAAAAGGGAAAAGAGGCCGAAAAGGCAGAATAAGAGGCAGATGTTGCCAAGACAAGCTTCTCCAAGCATATTCTGTCCTCATATTTACACACATAAATGACATTTTTGGAGTTTATTTAGGTGACATGTTGCATTTACAGCACACAGTCAGCAAACAGTCAAAACACAGTCAATACATGTAGATTCATTTTTCCCCCTCCCTTTTGGGGAGAAAAATAAGGTATCTTGTCAGTGTGTAAAAAAGCTAATAGGTGTTTTGATTTTTTACCTTGACTCGGATTTGTTCCACCACGTTTAGCTCCTCCAGAGAGAGAGGATGTTCCGGGTCGTTGATGGATCTGATCAGATGTGACACCAGTTAAAGAATCCAGAACAGTATTAAAGACATCGGGCTATTTTCCCCCCACATCTACAATAAATAACAAAAAGCACACAATGGCAGCAGAACTTGTGGTGCTTTTGGATGATAACTTTCTCAAGGACCAAACTATCTAATCACATATCTTTCGTAATTGACTGACGATTTAATTCAAACTAAATCCAAAACGATGCAAGGCAGAGATAGATAGTGTAAAACAGATGTCAATTCTAAGGAAAACTCTGAGGCAGGGGCCTGAATTGGTGATTGGGTGGGTTTTTTGTTAACAGGATATCGAATATCTCTCTGTCGTCGATTGCGTCGTGGACCTCCTCGTCCTCCTCGGAGGCCGTCAGCAGCCTCTCCCCGCTCCGCTGGAAGATTACCGGGTTGGCATTCTCCAGCTGGGACCCCCCGGACATTTCAAACGATGTTTGAGTCCTCGCTTTTGGCCGGAACACGACTAAACTTCAACAAGTGGTGCTGCGCTACGACTCGCGAGTTTGTTATCAACTCACTTCCTGAATAACGGAAAGCAGCGTGGGACAAAAGAGCGTAAGCGATTTAAAGGAACGGGACACCCAAAACAGTTCCCACGACTAAAATAAATAGCTTAAAACGTTCCTCTGCTGTCTTCTGCTGTTTGACTGATTCAAAAACCACCTAATGCCAAATATCCACATCACATCCTCTTATTTTTATCCCTGTACAGTATGAAAACGGCAAGTTCTTACAATGAGATTGGTATCTTAATATGAATTTCCCTTTTAGACTGAGTCGTTTGCCCTGTAAAGAGCAAGTACTTCTCATTTCAGCCCCTAAATGACAGCATTGTGGTTTGTTTTTTACAGTTATTTTAAAAACATCTAATTTGTAGCTCTTAAACCTCAAATGAGAAGAATATTCCTGATATAATTAGTACAAACAGACCGGCTTTACAAGAGCTGTCATTTATTCCACTTTCAATTATTACACAATCCTTCAAAATTAATAAGTAGTTGACCTTTCTGAAAATAAAATCAAAACATAACATATATGCATGTGGTTATCCAAACTATGCAGAATAAGACATTAGTGTTGTAGTTCTTACCAAAAATCTATGACATAGAAAATACTGCCTGTCATTTATTCTTCATTTGTCACAACAGTTTAACAATATCATTCATAGCCACACATGGCAGACACAGCCCCACACAGAAAAACTCATTCAGACCACAGAACAATTGGCATGATGGCAGGGTTGTGACCGCCTGTTAGCTTCAATTTAGCCAGTTCTCTCAGTGTTGCCCGCTCAATGTGGCATTTACCTGCCATTTGGCATTTCTTTGAAAGCAAACCCACTAATCGCCTGATATTTAATCAAAGAGGCTGGTTGTCAGACTGGTCATGTGGAATAATGGTGACACCAGTATGAACATGAAAGCATCATCAATCTCAGACCAAATCAAAACTAGATCAATTTCATTAACTAGTATCTTGATTATCAAAATGGATGCAGTCAGATGTATTGATGCAACGCAACTAAACAAACACGACAGATCATGTCCAAGACAAGAAAAAACAGTAGTTAGGACACTTCATGTGGAGACAATGCAAAGCAGCAAGTTATTCCTCATCATCCCTCCATTTTATGGAACAGCTTTATCCATTTAAGGTCACAAGTCTATCAATTTCTATCAATTATCTTTATCTCAATATGAGGACTATTTAAGGTTCTTGGCTCCAGGAGAAACCTGGTTGGCTGAGTGTCTATTTCCGGTATATTGTTCTGAATCGCAGAGTGAGAAGTCAAATTAAACAGTAAGCAGGATTTCATTGAAATAAGTGGTGGGACTTAGCTTTCAATCCTTTGAATAAAGTACGTCGGAGTCTGAGCATTGGCAATATTATATGAATAAATAAGTCAAATCACTGTGTTTACTTTTCATTTTTATTATTTTCTATCCCTGCTTTTCTAAAGATATTTTCGTCTCCTATCTTTTATTCTATGTTGCTTGCTCTTTCCTTTGGTTTAGCCTTTCTTTTCCTTACTTCTGTTGGTGTTTCAGTTGCGGATTTCCTCACCTGCTGTGCATTTGTAATTATTTCCCACAGTATGTTTTATCTTGATTTCTCAGGCAATCCTTGTCAGATCCTTTTTTCCGTGTTACTCCTTTTTTTTATCTTTCATGTTACCTGCATTAAGCTGCAGATTCTAAGTTTCTATTAAAAATCCTCAGGGACCCTCGTGTCTTCACCTTCTCCTTTTAAGTCCTGCATTTGGGTCAGTTTCCACTATCACTGTGACAGAAATTAGTGTGCGTACTTCTGTTGGAGTGAGGACCGTGTTTCTTCCACTTCTCATGTAGAACAAACAAAAGGAACCCGAACTGGCCTGAATCTGTGCCCCAATTAGTTTCTTATCTGGAAAGGTTGCTGATCTCGTCAAGAGCGAATCTTAATGAGCTGCTGAAGTCAGTGGAATTGTTGGAGGCGGTCGATATGAAAAGCCTCACTTCAACGTGATACGTTCACCTTTGGAAGAATCGCGCATAATGAGGCTGCATATGGTTGCAGACACCTGCCTGACACTTTGTAATAAGAATGTCAGCTATGAGGGGTAGCAGCAGAGGTAAAGGGCAAAATACTTTCCCCAATGTATCCATGCGAATATTCAGCTTTTACATTCACCATACCTTACATTCACTTAGAAAGCATTTCATACATTTATTAGTTAAGACATTATCCTGTCGACTCATATATTTCTAGCTTGTGTCATATTCCATTCACAATAATTACAGCATCACCAGAAACATAAATCCTCAGGGAGGATCTGTCACTTTTATCGAATTTATCTGTTGAAACGTTCAATTTTCAAAGAAATCAGCACCTTTTATAGTGTGATATTCAAAGATTTACAATCCGGAAGATATTTTCTTTTAAAACAAAACTAAAGAAGATTGCAGGGAAATGAATAACCCCAATGTGCTCTGACACACATAAAATCCCATTCCACGTTGAATCTGTGGTGGAAATTGAGCTCTTTTTGTGACATTTCCCAGGCTTCTGAACCTAAGCCGTCTGAAACAACAACCTCAATTTTGACAGACGAACAGGATTACAGACACTAGTGACCGGTAGCCGAACTGCAGCGTGTGTGTGCCTGTTCTGGCTCTTATTCTCTCGGTCAGCGTTGACTCCTGTACCTGTACAGATCCAGATCCTCATCATGGGCTAAGCCAGTTCTGAGCCCCGGCTGCACACCTGACGTGCCCTTAATGAGACCGCAAAGCCGCTCATAGCCAGAGCACAACCTGCAATTTCATTAGCAGCACTGGTCAGCAGTGTGCAGGCTTACAGGAGGATTTAAGGTATATTTAATCATATTCTTTGTTGTTATCACGTCTCCCAACAGTTTGATTCGGTAGAGCGACTTTTGACAATGTCCATGACTTCCTTCAGACGTCGTCATGGTTATTTGAAGTGGTGATGGGTCACAGCTATAAAAGTAACTGAATAAAACTAGCCTCATTAAAAACCCCAAAACTCCAAATGAGTGTGGAATCCGGGGCTGAATTCATGAAGCTTTCGAGTACAAAGAGTTTTTTTCTTTGTCATAATTCTTACAAAATACCGGGGAATTTTTTCCAAGATTTCCCCCTTTAAAACTACAAATCCTGGTGAAGATCAAAGTTTTTTCTCAAAGTATATCGGCCCTCAAGAGAGCGCCTGTGGTGAGAAACTGTTAGGCATAGAGAGGAGATCCTTCAGAGATTCAAGAGTTTCAGAAGCAGAGGGGGAAAATGGGCAAACGATGACTGACAGCGAGTTAATGAAATGCTACAGATTAGATCGCGCAGGGATAATGTTTGAGTTTGATCTAATTAGAGATGTGCACTCATCTCCCATACAATGAATCAACGCTATAACGCAGAAATGAGACTGATCAAAAGTAATTGGCTACAGGGAAAAGGAAACGGAGCGGCACGGAGCTGCTTCTCCTCCTAAACAGGTTTCATGTTCATCAGATAATTGCCGGTGGAGCCCAAGTCACCTTCACCGTGTCCCCATTTGAGGGAAACACGTGTGGATTTTGAGTTAAAGATCACTGTGTCATTATCATTAGTTTCAGTTATTTCATAACATTTCAGTGATGAATGAATTAACACGTTTGATCATGAGAAGCATTTTCAATTTTGTGGTAGGAATAAATCAATAAATCCAAACCCCAAATATTTTTTTCTGTAGATTCATTTAGCTGAAGACCTTTCATGAATTTTTTGTTTGTTTTTCAAAATGGAAAGTAAAAAGAATAATTTAAAAAAAAATTTTTTTAATAGATTTATTCAATTTATTCACTGAACATTGTGAAAATCGAATCTTAACTCTAAAATGTAACTTTTTCATTTATATCTTAATCTTAATTACATAACTCTGATGTATTCTTTTAAAACATTATTCAATTACACTGTTTATGTTAACTGGAAGACATGATATTAATTAAATATGATTTTTGTTGCATTTTTCATGTCCAGCAAATGCACATTTTCCTCTATTAGCATTAGCTTTTAGCATTAGCTTTTAGCATTAGCTGTTAGCTGCATTAGCTATTAGCTGCATTGCTGACAGAATGCACATTTTATGTACTAAAAACAAATAAACACCAGTGGGATGGTTACCTGCCACTGGGAGCAACTAGAGGGTTAGTATGTGAAGACACAGTTCACACTTAATCTCATTAAAGAATTTCAACACTTTAGAAAAAGCAAGCAGGTTTCAAGTGCATTTCATTTTTATTATTAATATTAACATTATTTTCTGCACGCCTAATGTTCAGACCCTGTGTGAGTGAATCAAAAACAGAAATTTCTGCAAACCGTTGTTAGTGAACAGAGTTAGCGAGTGCATCGAATGCAACACACACATTCTGCCACAAAAAGAAAAAGCAAGATCAAAACTCTGTGGGACTGCCTTATTTAAAACAGTCAGGGGTAAAGTCCTCCAGGCAGAAGTGAGCAGAGAGAAACAACTCAGCTTGTTATCTGCCCACAGTTCAAAACTTCTGGTTTGGGATCTGCCGGCTATTTGGATCCTTTGTGTATAGCTAGTACGCCGTCTCCAAAGCTCTCTCCAGGGACTCCAGTTCTCTCTGAACAAACTCTGGCTCTAACAGAATAAACAAAACAGATTAAAGGCAGATTTAAAACACTGCATGACCGCAGATATTTCCAGTGTGTCAGTCCTCGGTTTACCAGAGGGCCACAGCTCAGACGAGTGCCCGGGATGGCAGGTGTTCCCTCGGGGGAACCTGGGTCCTCCCCAGATAGTGAGAGATCATTCCTCCACACAACCCTGTTTCTCCCCCATTTCCACAGAGTCCGTCACTCTTCTGGAACAGAAGCCAAACCTGGCTGCTGTGGAACTCTCTGTCTGTATCGCTTAG